TAAAATTTAATGTATACACTTTTTCATTAAACTTTTTCTATTTATTGTCTTTTACTCTACATATATAATGGAGATTGTTATTTTTTTCATATTTTAACGGGGTTTCATATAATTTTTATAACAATTTTAATTTTAGAGGTTTCGTAAAAAGATTGTGGTGACTCCACTCATCCGTATTAAGACTCAAATTACACGCCACGTCCTGGGCGTCACTCTCCATTAAACTTCAAGAAATCTAAGTTTTTTGAGATGTGTTTACAGATTATATTCATAAAGTTATTTTGCTCAAACTAATAATCTAGATGTGTAAAAAATACAAACGTAATATTTTAATATTTTGCTCACATTTGTTTACATGCTGGCCGAAGATAATAGTGGTAATTTTTTAGCCTCTCTTGATTTCTTTTGGAAAACGCAATAAGACACTTTAGTTCTACCTAAAGGAAACAACACAAAAAATAAGGGAAAAGGATACAAGCGTTCTATTTAAGCTAGAGAACTCAAAATAAGTTCATAGTGACATGAGAAGAAATTTTATGCGTTAGTATTTTCAAAGGAGTCCACATAGGCATTATTTTTCCATTACTGTTGATGGAATCCAAACGTGTTTCAATCGGAACAAATAGCTTTTGTTCTTTGATTTTTTTGTCTTGTCTCTAAAAATTATTGGATTGTTAAGAAGGGTTTTTTGAAAGGAAAAAACCGGGAAAAAACCGTCTACAATCAGCTTTGCTATGTCAGCACAACAGTGGCGGATTAAGACTTCTTGGGGCCTGGGCTATTTTTGTTATTGGAGGCCTTTTTATAAGCCAGACCCTAAAAATTATTTAAAAAAAAAAAAAAAAAAGTCCTTTAAAATTTTTGGGAGCCCCTAAATTTGCGGGGCCTGGGGCTATAGTCCCCTAGCCCCCCTCCTCCTCCTTGATCCGGCACTGCAGCACAGCGTTTTGGATCAAAGCCAAATTTAGTTAAAGAACTATAAAGAACAGTGCTATGACAACGGAGCTAACATGTCTGGTGTATATTGATAAGTGGAGGCCATCATTCTTCAAAAGTATCCTCAAGCTTTGTACATGCCTCGCAGTGCGCATAGCCTCTATCAAGCTGGCTTTCATTCTGTTGGATCCTCTACTGTAGTCAAGAACTATTTTGGAAACATCCAGATGTTTGCAAAATAGTTCTTGATTTTAGTTCTTACAACCTTTTCAATAACAGCCCCATGCGCTGAAAATATTTTGACGGAACCAATTGGGCTGTCCCTTCACCAAATTTCTCAAGACCATTGTTGTAAAAACCAAAATTTTTAATGAAATCGTTGCAACTTGTTCAAGAGGATCATTCACAACGAGACAACATTTTTAAAGACGCCCTAAATCTAAGAAGAAATATTGATTGTTTAATGTGGGAGACATTTGGGTTGAAAAATATTTTAAGATGAGGACAAAAATAAGGAAAAGAATTTACGGCAAATCGATGAACGCAGTTCACTTACACGAAAAAGAATCAAAGGATTTTGGAATGACCGTATGTAATGTAGCATGACATTGACATGCTATTCTAGCAGATAAAAAGCAGGACAAATATGGCTTAAAAGATAACGGACATGTTTTTGTTTATACAATCTCCATCTCTTTTTAGTGATGACAAAGTAAATGTAAACTGCATCTCTAGGTAAATGATGCATAGGAAGTTGATTGAAGAAATCTCCCATCTTAATGTTTTCGAGCATTTGGACAAGCAGAATCCCTTTCTTCAAATTAGGTGCTCAGACGCACCTCCCCACAACAATGCTCATGATTGAAAAAAGTATACACGCCCAAATTAAACTTTTATAGCAAGGTATGATTATAGTGTACACTAAAAGGTATTTCACAAAATTTGAAAAGCATGTCCCATCAAGTGTTTTTTTTTTTTTTATTAAATAATTTTATAATTTAAAAAAAAGTAAAAATTTTGTTTTTAATTAAATTATAATTCTTTTTTTTTATTTTTATTGCTACCCGTAAAATAAAATAAATAAGGGTAAGAACTTGTTGTATAATTTGATTATCTTACATAACTTAGTTATCTTATATTATTTAATTATATTATATAATTTAATCATATTACGTAATATAAATAAATTTTATATTGTATTATATAACAATGTTTATATTATAAAATATAGCTGTGTATTACAATAAATATAAATTTATATTTGTGTGTTACATAAAGTGTTGTATACTATATAACTAAATGTAATATAAATGTTTTATATAAGTATGCTTCTTAATCTAGCTAAAAGTTAAATAAAAAATATAAAGTGTGACATTTATTGCCTAATTTTGCAGCAACACACTTTAATGCTCGCCATAAATGCTGCTAAATATGCAATCGAAAAGCAGACAGCACATTTTCAGTAACAGGTTTGATACTTATGAAAATATTAGTTTTATCAAGCTATAATAGTGATAATTCATCCTTTGCAACTGGAATATGCAACACCTGCAACATAGTATTATTACTACATGGAAAGCACTATGTGGGAACTACTTCGCGTTCCTTTCAAGTACATCCACTTGCAGCATCAGGAGTAATTCTCTCCGTCCTAACTAGAAGTAAAAATCTCTGTGATTGTACTATTTGCAAAGTAGAAAAATCAACAAAACCTGAAACAAAAAGAACTAAACCTGGAGGTAGACCAAGAGTTCTGGAGAAATCATCCAAATAATGCGTTTAACTATACGTGTAAAAAGGTTTTTGGTTCAACAAAATTTTGTCAGATGATTGAAAACTCCCTGAATTAAGAAGCAGGGGACAAATTAGCTGCAGGTCAAATTAGAGCAAAGTTTGAAGAACCAGAAATTGTATTCCTTAAAAAAAAGGACAATCTTTTACAGTTTCAAAAAGAACAAAGAAGCCTTCTTCAGAATAGAGTCACAAAAATTTAATGGCCATCAAGGTTGATAGAGAGTTGTCTGGTTCTGATATAGACGCAATATCAAAAGCGATTCGTGTTAAGCACGGACTAAAATCAATAACATCTAAGTTAAGGAATTCATGGTAGATAACAATGACCCTTTAGTGGAGTACTTCTTAGCAGTAGACCTTAATTTATATAAATTGGGGACTCTAACTGTGCGACCTGTTGTTCTTGTTAAGAACAACAGGTTCTTGTGGAGAAACTCACCTGAAAAATGATACAAAAAAGAAAACAAGACGCTTTTATAGTTCAGGGGAAAGTATTTGTTGACGGTTTTTTCAAGCTTGGAATTTGTTCTGTTGATGTGGCAAGTGACGTCAATGCTGATATCACCAAGAGATCAAACTAAAAAAACTTAAAAAAGGAAACGTCCGTTGAGCAGATATTTCTTTTTAAAATAGTCCCAAATATTCAGGAGAATTATGAAAACTGTAGCGTCTTTTTCAAAAGTATTGACTTTGAAAGTATTCAATTTACACTCTGCGGATTTGAAACTACTTAATTTTATTTTGAAACCATACTTCAAAGTATCCTTGTTGCTTTTGTAATAAGAGTACAGATTGCACAGATTGGCTCTTCTTTACAGGAGATAAACAAACCTTAGAATCGGTTAGACATCAAAAATTTGCCTGGAAACAAGGATGTAATTCTGACTCATCACTGAAAGAATTTTATAATTGCAAGAACCAACCACTTCTGGCAGGAGATAATGAAACTAAAGTTATGGAAGTATGCAATATACCCAAACTTCATATCTATACAGGAACAATTAATCTATTATGGAATAACCTAGCAACAAGATGGAGACAAGAAAAATGGAAATCTTCCTAGAAAACAATTTTCTTGTCAAACAAAAACTTCATGGTGGAGAGTTTGAAGGAAACCAGTGTAAGAAATTGATGAGATTAACAAATAAGCTTAGAAATGCTCTTCCTGAAAATCTAAAAGGATTTTGTGATGCCTTTGATGCATTCGATACCGTAACTTACTCGTGTTTTAGCAAGATAATGAGTATAGAGATTGAAAATGCAATGATTTTCTTGATACTTTTATTACTTAAGAGATCAAAACAAAGAGTATAAAACTGCATATATTATTTTGCCATGTAAAGAAGTTTTTCAGAAAGAATGAACTGGGAATTTACAGCAAACAGGCAGAAAAACTATTCACTCAAGAATCAGTGAGTTTTCCAAATAAAAACGTGAGTGATTTCCACTAAGAACCATATAAAAAAGATCTATTACATGTTGTTTTTTCATAAAACGCAAAATTTGAGGTTTTATTATGTTCAGTCTACATTGGACAAACTGTTTAAACTAAAATATTTATTTTTATTTTGTTTTTGAATAAACACTGTTGTGGGGAGGTGTGCAGAAAGGTCTTCACTCATAACTTCTATTTTGCTTTACATTTTCAATATAATTCCGGTTTCAGTGGCTGAAAGAGAACACTGTTTCAGTAAGCTTACTCTCATTAAAGTCAATATGCAAAGAACGCCTTATAAAGCTTATGTTGATTAAACACGACCACGACTTTATTGTAAAAGATATTGTCTAGTTTTGTGAAGTAAAAAACCCATAAAGCAAAATTATAATCCAACTAGTCTTCTAATTATGACCTTACATGTGTTCATATACATTCAATAACATTTTATTGCTGAAATGTATAATTCGGTTCATTTAAATTTTTCTTTAAATTCTTGTTTTGTCATTATCTAAATCTCCATATTCATAAAAATGAATTAAAAAAATGTTCTACTATAATTTGAAATTTTGCTGCCAAGTCAAGAATAGGTATTTTAACCTTAATAAGCATTTGTGTTATATCATCACATTTTAGTTGCGTTCATTAATAGAAATATTTTTAATCTTTAACTTATAGTTTATAATACTTTTATTTATCTTCTACTCGCCATTATCAGTTTAATAATTTATAAATTACTAGAGCAAAGGCAACGTTATTATTTATTAATGAATATAAGTAAATAGTTAACCGAATCCCCCCCTCCCCCCGCAATCCAAGGGTCGATCAAAACATATTTTTTAAAATCTAACAGAATTGCTTTGTTTTAATATACAAATTATAACTACAATTTATAATGCAACAAAGACAATTTATAAAAATCTATAAAATAAATAATGTAAATAAGTAATGGATTTAAATTTTGTTTAAAACATCAATATCTAGTTGTATGATTCTTGACTAATTCTTCCAGTATTCGTTAACGCCCCTGCTCCGACACCATAACCGTATCCTTTTGGTCCGAAAAACTTATTGTAGCAAGCTTGAATAAAAAAAAGATAAAAATTAAATCAAAGGTTAAATTTATTAAAGTTTATTAGTTAGTATTAGATCTTATTTTTATTTATAAACACAGAAAACAAAAATCCGGGACGTAGTCAAGGAAAATGCATAAGTTACATTTATAGATGAAGCTAAAAATACAACTAGAGTTTCATGCAATCCTCAAATGCATAGAAAAAACTATTTTGGCAAAATACAATTTTATAGAATCAAGAATTTATTTAAAACATATATATATAAAAATAAAATTAAAAAATAAAGTAATTAAAAAAGTGTTCATTCGATTGAATCCAAAGTACAACCATCCCTACGGGCATTTGTTTTTGAAAGTTACGTTCTAAATGTCTTTTAAACGTTTTTTAAACGTCTTTTAAACGTTCTACACGTAAGAATGTTTAAAAGACGTTTAAAAGGCATTTAAAACACATTTAGAACGTAACTTTTAAAAACAAATGCCCGCTGGGATTAGAGTTGAAGTCCAAGTATGAAAAGTTTCAAAAAAGAAACCCGAGTTTAGAATCAAATGTTATTTTATCTGGACTTGGAATTCCAAAAATAGTTATAAACTTCTAAATTCGCGAGTTTAATAGTATGAAAGTTTATATCATTAAAATAAGTTAATTACTTTATTAGAACATTATTTACAGATTGTAATCTTCTAAAGTAGGTTTTGTACTTTTTTTCTCCTAAGGGAATTTACAAATAACTTTTTATTACCATTTCATTTTTTTCCTCCTGATTTTCAGCAAAAGATTTTTAATTGCGAGCTGTTAAGTTTTTTCAGGATTCTGTGTGAAAGTTAAAACTTTTATAGTTGCGAATTAAAGGTTTGTTTAAACAAATAGTTTTAGTAACAAAATTTCGGGAGGCTGTATAAACACAAATTGGCATAATTGCGAACTGGCATAAGTTCGAAGAGTTCCAAAACTAACGTAGGTCCGAACTGGCAAAAGTGCGAACTGGCATACAAGCGAAGCAGCTCAAAAACTGGCATTGGTGCGAATTAGCGTAAGTGCGCCAAAAGAATTTGAAAAAATTGGCATAAGTGCAAATTGATATTTCACATTTATACCAATTCGCACTTATGCCAATTCGCACTTACGCTAGTTTTTGCAACTGTTTCGCACTTATGCCAATTCGCACTTACGCCAGTTCGCACTTGAAATTAGCGCTTGAAATTAGCGCTTAGCTGTCGCTTATTCAGTCGTTCGTTTTTATAAAAAACCTTACAACGCAAAGTTTATTTACTAGAAGACAAAATCGAAAGCTTTTTTTATCAACTTCATATACCAGAGTTTTGCAAAGTCTCAGATTTCTCTGAATAAAACGCAAAGTAAACAAAGTATGCATAAAATTCAGGGTTGTTGTAAACTAAAATGTGTGTTTAAATTATATATACGTCTGATTATGGGGAGTAAATTTTTATATATGATTCCTGGATTTGAAAATTCCTGTTAATATTAATGCTTTTCAAAGCATTTTTGCAGTTTGCCCCATAAGATCTTATAATCGACATTTTTTTATAATGCTTTTTTTATGAGTGTACCTGTTTTTTAGCGAAACATTGACCAAAGAGTTACGTAATTGTTTTTGTTTTTTTTAACTTGATAGATATGACGCTGTTTCAATAATTAAAACATCTACTTGTAATTGTTTGGTTTATACTTAGAAAATTTTTTGAGGGAAAAAACTAATTGCGTTGCACATTGTGACGTAGTTCACTATGTGGTGGGGAGCAATTATAATTATAACTCAGAAGCATTTCACAAAAGCTGATTCCGCTCATTTTACATCGTATTTACATAATCTAATAATAAATGATTCAAACACCGGAATCAAGTATAGAAAAATTAAAACGTAAGATCTTAAGTAAATTGTTTTGAAAGAGTTTCAAGAAAAGATGCTTTATCCCAATTATTTCTCATCTAATTGTGAAATTTGATAGTCAGCTTGTTGTAAAAATTGATGGTCAGCTAATTGTGAAATTTTATGGTCAGCTAAATGTATAATTTGATGGTCACCTAGTTGTAAAGTTTGATGGTAAACGAATTGTGAAATTTGACGGTCAACAAAGTAGTAAAGTATTTAAACTTTTCAAATTTTAAATCGGTATTTGATCAATTGTTTTACTTGCAGAAGCAATATAACAAAACGAATTAAGATTTCTATAAGTTGTAATGTTTCTTAAGCGTTACAAGTGTTTTTGTGTGTATAGAAATAATTTTTATCAATTAGCAACCTAGAAATCAGATGTACAAGCTTCTTTAACAAATTTAGTTTAACATTTTAAATCTTTTTGATTAAAAGTTAAATAAGACAAAAAAATTTTTCTTTATTCATTAAACTTGAGGACAAAAAACATTTAAAATACACTTAATGACACTTTGTCAAAAGGAATTCAAATTTACATTATCAACATCATAAACAAATGCACTATTGAAATGATGAGCTTGTTTATTGAAATGATGAGCTATAACATGCTTTAAAATGTTGTTTAAAAAGGAAGAGTTCTATTACCAAAAAGTAAACTTCTGATTGATTTGCTCTATTATGTAGTTCATAACTTTTTTTGCTTTAAACAAAGCAAAGTCAAGTCAAAAGTCTACAGTCAAGTAGCAGTGGATTTTGCTCACTGCCTAATGCCAGTAGTTATGTCCATACCAATACAGTACAAGCAACGTCAAAGTTCAATGCCAATGTAAGTCCAGTTATTATACATGTATTCTGCAATAATAATATTTAAGCAACTTTGACATTTCTAACATTATAGTTAAACTTTTATCACTTTAGTTAAAATTTTATCACTTTAATCAAAATTTTATCACTAGATAAAACTTATTAAAATCAGGACTGATGATTGATATCCTTTAGTTTTCAAGCTGAATGTTTATATAAAATCAAAAAAATTAACCATGGCTAATAATAGATTCTCAACAATTTTTATGCTGATGTTTATAGAGTCAATAGTCGCGATAAAAAAGCACCTAAATGAAAGACGTCATTTACAAATTTTGAGAAAAAGACAATTGATTTCGTATTTTTTTACATGTTTTGACAAATAGTCTTATTTGTTTAAGCGACTAAAAACCGTCTCAGTTGTCAAAACATTTTAAAAAAATATTTCTGCCGTTTCTTTTGAAAAATGTTATTTGAACAACCGACTCCTTCCCCTTTCCCACTAAAATTAAAAGTCTTGCGCCTGATAAAAGTTAATTTGATAAAAACTTTTATATAATCAAAGCAAACATTAAATTGTTTTAATTTCACCAAAGAAATTTTAATAAGAAATTGAAGCTTACGTTGGCAATATATTTCTTGTTCCGCCGTATTTTCTTGAACATTTGTCGAATCTAAACTCTTGTTGCAGGATCGACAGCGAAAACAGTTTTTGTGCCAATACTAAAAAAACCACAATTTTTCTATAATAATATCAAAACTATTACAATAACTGTTTCTATAGTATCATCAAAATCACTACAACAAATTTTTCTATAATAACATTAAAATCAGTACAACAAATTTTTCTATACCAACATCAAAGTTAATACAACAACTTTTATAGTACAACAACAAAATCTATACTTTTGATTAAGAACATTAAAAATATTATATATTGTAGTTCTACAAAACAAAAAATATTTTGAGACTAGATAAGCAAGACTTTGCAACATCTTTACTTAGAGAGGATGTAGACTGTCATAAGCATAAGCAGAGTTTATGAACTTTTTGCGAAACCATGAAAATGAGGTTCATGCGAATTTTTATAAAATATTGTTTATAAAATGTTTTAAAATTGGAGTATGTTATCTCATTTAATGAGCTAAATCAATAAATATATCTTATAAAAATGTATATTACCAGGCCTGAAGCAATATTTTGTTCGGCAGTATATACAGAGCCTCCACAACGTCCGCAAGGGTTTCCACCTAAGTAGTTTTCAGTGTATAAAGATTGATTTAACGGAGCATTATTTGTTGCATATCCATCACCAGCATCCATGCTTAATGTACCAGCGCCGGCACCATAACCATAGCCTTTTGGTCCGTAAAACTTGCCATAGCAGGATTTGCAAAATATTTCTTGAGCTGTGGTAAGAAATAAATAGTTTAACAAGTTAGTAAAAAAATGTAAGAAAAAAAAAAACTGTTAATAAAACGTCCAGCAACGGGCATTTGAACAAAAAAAAAGTCTTTTGACTGTTTAAATGACGTTTAGAACTTTTCAAAGACATTTTCTTGGGGTCAAACGCCTGCTTCGAATAATAACTGAAAAGCTTTTTTTTGATTACAACTTTTTTGTTGTAATGGATGTTTTTCATATCTAAATTGTAAAATATTCAAATCCTCAGTCAATATATGTACTTAATTTCTTTTAGATAACCATTTTAATAAAAAAAAATTTATGCGCAAACAGATAACAACATACATTTCCGAATAAATTATTTTAAATGTGTTGGAGTTTATAAAGACTTTTTGGTACGTATACTTTTTTGGAAACTTGATAAAAAATTTTTACAATATTTAAGGGGTATATATCATCCATAATAACATCTATCTGCATACACACGCATTGTTTATTACAAAATCAATCTCTCTTTCCCTAACGCATAAAATTTTCAAAACATTAAAAATAAAAACACTTTTAGCGAATTCGACATATTTATGATACATAACATAGTAGTGATTTCTTAAACTTGTGAAATTCGATGCTTTTATTGAAAAAAAAATCAAATTTTAGGAGAAAAAGCCATATCGCTTACGTACTGGCTGACTTTAACATCTCTCCCCGCCCCCATTGTACACATTTGTATGTTAAACCCTTTCCCCCATACCTGCGTACATACTTTATAAAAGACCACAAAACATAGTTTTAGTATTACTTTTGATTGTTAGTTTCCAAGATTTTTCATAATATTTAACAAGCACACACACACAAATCGAATTTGAAAATTTTAAAAAATCGAATCCTTACTTATTTTGTTTTTGCTGTGGGTATTTTAGATATTCTGCGCTTTGGTGCTATCGAAATAACGTTACTTGTCCTTAAATACCTTTTTAATTTGTCATTAAAAAGGTTAACCAGGGCAAGAAGTATCAATAAAGAGATTATACAACTTTTTTGCTTTATTTTATTTTAAAAATTCGTATTATTAATTAAAAAAATGCTTAAATTTTGACTTCAAAATGTCAATTCGAAACGTGATTCGAATCGCGAATCAAGACCTGCTTTGATTCGAGTTTCGATTCGAAATAAAACTGCCGATTCGCAGGGCCCTAATATAAGTTTAAAACAGCATTATAGCGAGTAGAGATCGAGTCAACTAAACTAATGAGAACATCCTGAAGAACTTGATAGTAGCATTTTTTTAATAAAAGGAAATAAATGATCCTAGATCTCAATAGCATTGAGATCTAAGCTCTTTGAAGGCCATTCAAGAAGGTTTCAAGAAGCCAACGTTTAAAGGCCATTCAAGAACGTTTTGTGAAAAAGAATTCCTTAAAAGATCTGACACAATGCTTTAAATAATTATCTTGTAGTAAGATTGATTCGCGAGTAATTTTTTACTTTGAATATGGCACCATAACATTTTTCATGATATCTAGATAAACTCTCTGGTCCGTAATACCCTCTATGCAAAAAATTGGGCCTACATTGTTATGGCTAAAACATCCACAAACCATAACATTCTCTCCTCCGTGTTTAACAGTGGGTAACGGATATCTTGGATTAAGTCTGTCTCTTATTGGATGTCTGACATACCTAATTCCGTTACTACTGAATAGTATAAACTTGATTCATCATATATAATTCATAAAAAAAAAGGAAATTTGACCAATCATTAACTGTCCAGCTAAGATGATTTTTTGCAAATTTTATTCTGGATTTTAATTTTCTTGCGGATATTAGCCGTTTCTTAATTGGACGGCGGCTATACAAATTAATTTGTCGTAATCGACGTTTAGTTGTTTTGACACCACTGTTTGTGCCATAAAATTATTGCATAATTTCATAAAGTTTGAGGGCAGTCTTGCAAATATTATTCTTGGAATATTTATTAATAATCTATCAGCCCTTTCAGTTATATCTTAAGGTGTTTTAAGATGAGGCTTGGTTTTAATGGTTGCGTTGACAAAATGTTTTCTTAATCTGACTTATTCCTGGTTTAATTACATTGTAAAGTTCAGAAATCTGTCATATTTTTTGCTAGAACTTTTGTAATTAATCTCTTTATTTCATTGGAAACTTCCTTAGTCTTTCCCGTGCAAAATATTACTAAATAATTAAAGTGTAAAATTTTTTACAAATATTTTGGCAATTATTAACACTGCTTTTAAAATCTCATATAAATATATGAATAAATAAAACGATACTGTTTCTAAACTTTAGCGCGTAATCCTTTCCAACAAAAACAATTAAACTTTAATTAACCGTTAAATTTTACAATTTTGTTAATATTTATTTTGAATTGAAATATAATAAAGCACATTTGGTAAAAATTTCAGCTTATTTGAGTAAGTTTGTGAAAAGTTAAAAAAAAAAAAAAATTAAATCTGAAAAAAAATCGGTGTTTATAAACTTTTTCGCGCTTCTGTTTATAATTGCTTGCATAAAATTATTAATATATAATATGTGAGTATATAGTTTAATTTTGTTTTATTTAAAAAAGAAACATTTTTTTAAAAATGTACAAAAAACTACTTTTAAATGTAGGTCAAAACCCCTCAACATCAAGTTCCCTAAACATCAGACAGTTCCCAAAACATTTGCTAGTTCCCTAGTATTATTAAGATTAAAAAAAAAATTTAATTGGTTTTTAAAAGAATTAATATTGGACTAAGATTTCAAAACAATTTTTAAAAGCTCTAAATAAAGTAATATATATATATATATATATATATTATATATATATATATATATATATATATATATATATATATATATATATATATATATATATATATATATATATTAAATAATAAAATAAATTAAAAAAAAATTCAATAAATGTCTTTGCCAGACAAAAGATTAAACTGAATTGTTTTTTGCAATTTAAAATTATTTTTAATACATATTTCATTAAAGAGGCAAAAAGTAAAAAAACAAGGTCATAGCCCTGCACTGAACTTGTATAAAGTATATTTTTTTATATTGTTTTTTTGTTAGAGTTATTTAATTGGATCTGGAAGCAATCTATGACAATTTTTTGTATGAAAATTACCAATTTAATTTTAAAAAAATACTCGTTTATAAAAACAACTTGCATTCTTGACAGTAAAGATTGTAATTCGATGGCTGCTATATAATCTTTTCTGATTGCTATTTGATGCTTCAAATTTATATAAAACGCTAGTAGCCGATCGTATCCGCCCGGAAGCTAGAGCCCTATATAAGTTTGAGTTCCGATTTCACACCATCATTTGATACTAAGTTACAGGCAAAAAGGTGAGAACTGCCATAGTACAAGGTAAAGAAAAACTTTGACCATTTTTTTAAACAAATATATCAAAAAATTGTAAACGTAAAAACAATTTTAAAAATTTTTCTTCTTTGATAATTTTTTACTTTTGAAGTTAATTGGTATTCTTTCCAATGTTCAAAAATCAATTTTTTCTAATACTAAGTTATATACTAATGTTTTCCTCAAATTTCCCAGCAATTGAAACTGTATAAAAATCCAAAGTTTTCTTAAACTTTTTTAAAAAGTTTATCACTTTTATGTCCTTTACTTCCTCTAGCGCAATCTTTCAGCATTCTAAAGCTACAACAAATAAATTTAGGTTTAGAGGTTATTGTGTTCAAAGTTGCTAATGGTTGCAAGTGGTTTCAAGTGGTTGCAAGTGGTTGCAAGTAAAGCTAATTTTGACTCATAGTAAACATGTTGATCTTTCATATAAAATGAAAGGTTAACAGACTAATAAATATGTGTGCTAATGAGAAAAAAAGTAATGTTAAAAAAAGTAATACCTCAATGTATAATTAAAAACAATATATATACAACATAACAAATTTTATTTTGTTTAGAAAATAAGAAGCTAAAGAAGAGAGTGGGGAAAAGGGGAACAATAAAAGATACTTTTTGAATAATTTTAATATTTTTTTAATATAAATTATGCAAACCAAACAAGTTTAAAAAAATAAAGAAGCATTTTGGGAACTGATTTCATCCCCTAAGATTGTTAACAGGTAATTATAATGATTAATAGCAGATAATGATTTTAGAGGAACCATGCTATTGGGGTAAAGTGAGACAAGCGAGTATTTAACATCATATTAACAAAAATTATTTACAAATTATTAAAACTGTAAACCAAGTAATCTTCATCCAAATATAGTAAAAACACAAATTAATTACACAAAATTGATGTGGGAGATTTACTTCGCTCCTAGAAAAAAAAATTTTTTGGGCACTTTTCAAAAAAATTTTATCATAAACTTCTATCACACGCTGAATGTTCGATAGTATCTTTTATTAAAATTTTATGATTTTTGAAGATTTCTAAAAAGTACCTCTTCAAATTTCTACACCAAATAAAATAAAAATAAAATACCACTTATAAAAATATCAAGTCAATAATTAAAAAAAAAAATTAGATATTGACTGTAGTTAAATTAAACTAACTTTGTTTTTACCAACTTACTTACTTTAAAATAAACTTTACTATTAGTTAATACATAAAGGTAAGGCTGACCACCTGTTACAAAGTAGAGCTGATTATTGGTTACAAAGTAGAGAGGACTTTTATTTTTGCGTACCTTTCTTTCTTTAAAAAAATTAAAATTCAAAGGTTATACGTACTTTACATTGATTGTATGTAATGAAGTTATTTTTAAAAAGTCTTCTAAATTTCAAGAAAATAAATTATTTTCATAAAAAGAAATTTAAGAGTATGTCATACAAAAAAGTTGTTTTACGTTTTTCGTCAACTGTCTAGCAGACTTGTGAATAATTTTTTTGTCTTTAATATAAATATGAAGACTTATAAATGAAGAAATTCCAGATTGGCGTCATGTCTCATTTTTCATGTTTTAACTGAAATGCTTTATCTTTTAAAGCAATAAAAATCAATACTAGATTATATTGATAATTATTAATTTATTTATTAAACCGTTTGTCAGACAGCATTTATGACTTTGTTTTTTGTCTAATAATAAAAAAAAAATAAAAAAACAATAACATATGCATGCAAAAAAATATTAAATTCATAAATCAATAAGACTTAAAAATAAAAACTAAAAACCGCTAACTAATAAACTTTTGAGCATATTGTGTTTTAGAGAGTATATGACCAAAAGCAGAAGAAGAACCAGAAGAACCAATTATAGGACCAGAAACAAAAACTATTTGACATCAAAAATATCACCACAGCTCAAAAAAATTTAAAAATATTAATTTTTTTTTGTTTGTTTTTTTCTTTGCTGGAGCCAACAAAGTTACCATCAGGTACGAACATTATAGGAACAATTATTAAAAAAACACTTTTCGTTTTGCATAATCAACTTATCATATATTTTACTTTATATTACATTATTTTTCAAACTTATTTACTTTTATATACTTTGATGTTGTAAAAACAATTTTAAAAATGATGTATATTTAAAATTCGATTCGAAAATGCATAATGTTGCTTACATAAACAGTTATAAATAAATTAAAATGATTATAAATTGAACATTACTTTAAAGTTCTATATTAAACTTTAAAGTTAATATATTGAAGTTCGTAAATCATGTAGAGGTAATTAAATAACATTAGGTTAGACACCCGTCAAGCTGAGACAAATAAGTTAAAAAAGATTTTTAATTATCAAAGTTTTTTGTTGTTTAAAATTCTATAGGATCAAACTGGTCTTTTAGATTAAGCTTTGGTAGAGTAAGCTCTTATGCAAATCCTAAACAATGCGTTAGAATAGCCTCGATATCTGCTTTAGGTTAGCCTCGATATATCTGCTTTAGGTTAGCCTCAATATATTTGTTTTAGGATAAACGCGATACATTTGTTTTAGATTAGCAACGATATCTGCAAACCTTAAAAACATTTAAAAAGATTTTAATGTTTTTCCTTTAATAAAAATAAAAAAATACTTAGCTTATTTACTTTAAAAGATAGTTAATTAGTGAATATTTTAACTAAGTAGGGTCTAACAAAATTAGTTTCCAGATATTAGTACCATTAATCTAATGGGGGCATCATTTTTCTGCGATTAAAAATCTTTTAATCGCAGAAAAATGATGAATTACAATTAAAGGTATGGCTCTGAGTTGGATCATAGTGGAACTGATTACAACTTGTGACCTGAATCTGTGCTTTTGCATAAAACTACCGTTAAATGATTTTTTTAAAGCTTTAAAAAATTTAATGGATTTCTTCTGTTTATTTGCCTTTATATGATAAAGGTATTCGGTGACGTTTAGAACGTTTTCCTTTTTGGAAAAAGCGGACTGAAACATCATTTATAGGTATGAAAAAAAGAAAGAAAAAAAAAACTGATTTCAAGAACCGGGAAAACACAATATATTATTTTAGACGCTTCGGTGTGTTTTAGAATTTCAAAACACAGACTTTAAGCGTTATTTTTAAATAAATTTTATGGTCTTGAGTAAGAATTTACGAAAGTACAACTCTCGTCGCAAATTAACCTTCAAGTTATGTTTAATGTATTATTGTGTTTATAACAGGTACATTATTAAAAAAGAAGCGAACTGCGCTTCTATACATAAAAAGCATTAACTTGTAGTTTATGTTTTATATTAATTAAAATAGCAAACTTATGCATTGGAGAAATAAAAAAAAATTAAAAAATTAACTGCAAATTAATAAAAAAAATTTTCTTTGACTCCTTTCTTTTGCTTTGACACATAACCTTGGTTACCAAAAATCTCACACAATGACTTCAAATTGAGTACGCATATAATTCTGAGCTTGTTTATGTTAAAAATAAAAATGTTTATTTGAAAGACACTTAGCGTTATGAAGTGCAAAAGCTATTTACTATTTAATATTACTGGGAAATTTAAATTACGTACGTCATTTATCTTTTATTTTTCAAGCCATTCTAATGATGAGTCTTATTCATTCATTTTCGTGTGTTAAAGTTTCAATGTTAAAAAAATATACACAAAAATATTTTAAATCAAATTGACTAACCTTCTTTATTCTCTGCTACTGTTGTAGAAGACAACGTTTTGTTGCATACTCTGCAAGTGAAGCATCCACCAAAATGCCATGATTTTCCAGCAGCCAATCGTTCTTCAGCGGGATAAACCGGCTTGTCGCATCTCCCACACTTCGGAGCACCACCAAACTTTGGTGGCATTATTTACTTACTAAACCTAATTGCAACAATAAATAATAGTTAAATTAACATAAATTAACATAAAAAATTAACATTAACCTGAAGTTAGTTGTATAGATTTTGATGTCTAAAACTTTTGATAACTGCCAAATGATGAAACCGAATTCTGCCATATGAAAACCATAATTTGGAGACCATAAATATTCATAATTATTTTTTTTAAAAAGAAACAATAAAATTTAATAAATATAATACTACTAAATGTAAATACTAATGTTATAAATTATTTGGAGTCGACCGGCTTCGGATCAATCGTGATTCTTTTTCCATCAAATAATTTTACTAATTTATTCATTGCATAACATTTTAAAACTTTTGAATCCTACTCAATTAACAGAGTGTTATGTTCTCGTTACAAAATTTGTAAAGTTTCTTTATCGAAAAAAAATCATAATTTAATTTATTAAATGCTTTTTTAAATTAGTAGATGCCATGTTTCAGATTTTCTTTTGTATGTTTTGTACGAAATCTGTTAGTGCAAAATACATTTTTAAATCTATATATGTTTGTTTTTCCGCGTTCTCTTGTATATTCTTTTGGAAAAAAAATCTCTCACAAAATCATTTACTAAAATCAATTACAATAGTAAATAATTCATTCTTTTAAATAAGTAATTTTGATAAATAAATTATTACAACAATATATATATATATATATATATATATATATATATATATATATATATATATATATATATATATATATATATATATATATATATATATATATATATATATATATATATATATATATATATAATACATAACAACACAATTTTTGATAAAATTCAAGGTATTTTACTTTTTTATTATTACATAAAAAAGAAGTTTAAACAATACAAAAAATCAACACAAGTAACTGTGACAACGGACATTTTGTTTTTAAATAAACATTCATAACTTTTTCTAAAATCGTAACTAATTTTGAAATTAAAATGAAATAAATACACGCACACACACAAGCACACATACACACGCACGCACACGCATATATATTGAAGTTTAAAAAATTTAAAGCTTTTACTAAGTTTTAACGTTAAAAACATAAATATTTGGTCGATAAAAAGAAATCATAAAGCATATATTCAAGCATGATACTAGTATTGTTTATTATAATCTTTTTGTTTAAAAGCTTTTAATAAAAGATTTGGGTCCAACAAAGACAATCCAACAATTTAGTACTTTTATCGAAATTTTTGTTTGTAAATCAATTTTATTGCAAAATGCTCGGAAAGTGTTTACATTAGAATTGAAGATAACGTTTATGAACATACTACGGAAATCTTTTTCACAAAAATTTAGTTTTTTTTAATGACTCATATTAAAGTAATAATTATATATCAATCAAATCATTTTAAACAACGCCAAGTTTTATTGTAATAAAAAAATAAATAATTAGGCAGATCGAGTTAGAGAATAATTCTTTATTTGCAACAAAAATAAAACAAAAATTTTGATAGCATAAAAAAATGAACTAATATTTTTTACATATGCAGAATGGCATAAAAAATAAACTCCTAACTCTTACTTACAATTACATAAGCATACAGTTCGTCAATTACGTCACATATATCGACAAGTAACACATGATCTTGTAAGACGAAGTAAAATTCAAAAAAAGAACATAAACTAAAGTAAAGACGTTTATTATTACAACGTACCTGAACTTTATTTTAAAGTTGTCCAAAATAAAAAAGATTCAATTCAATAAAAACACAAGTTAAAATATTTCAACTATTAAAAACATAAAATAATTCGTCTTTAAAAAAACAAATATTTAAACAGCATTTATTTTACATATTAACGTTTAACCGATACTTAATGCTTATCAACTAATCCATCATCCGTCACCATAAGCTTTCAATTTGGAATGTCAACTAGTTTCGTAGTTACTGAAAGTGGCTTAGTTACTTTTGTTGGTTTTTTAAACAAGTACTTTGCGTCATAACCGTAAACTGAAAAAATTTATACACGCGGAGTTCAATTCGAGAAAGAGGGGAGATTTGAGAGAGATGAGGAGGGAAGGGGGAAGGGATAAAAATCATCGGGCACAAACGTTTTGCTAACTGTTATACCCACTGTTTTCAGATATTACAAAAAAATTTTATTTAGACAAAATGAGGCAAGATGGCCACAGAGACGTCCCGAGGGGAGAGCGTAGGTGGTGTCTAGCCTCTCTACTAAATTTAATAGTCGGCATTTTGGAAACTGGAGTTGGCTAAATTGGATCTATAGTTAGCAGTAAGTAAATTTCAGCTAACGAGGGCATTTTTTTTTTTATAAGTTTTAATAGCCAAAAAATATTTTTGGCCTTAGTCGGCGATAAACATATACTTCCTCTTTAAAATCTCTTCAGTACGGCCCTGGATGGCCTATGGGGCAAGATTTTCATATCAACAACTCGTCAAAAAAAAAAAGAAAAGAAAATAAGACTCATCATTAGAATGGCTTGAAAAATAAAAGATAAATGACGTACGTAATTTAAATTTCCCAGTAATATTAAATAGTAATGGGTGAAAACGTGTATATAAACGTATATATTCAATATTGGTAATGTGATTTTACATGCATAAGTTTTTTTTGCGCTTAAAGAAAATGAGTTTATTAGGAGGTGTTATACGGTTATACGGGGGTAACTTTTTGGTAAATATTTTTTTGCGACACTTGTTTAATTTTTATACTTTACATAGAATAATTGTAGTTTGAAAACTTTATCAAGTTGGAGACAGGAAACGCTTAGTAAGTCACTTTGCTCTTATCATGTAAACGGATGACAAGTTTATGAATTTACGTTTTAAATTTTAATCCAAACTTTTCCACTGGCATACTAAAAGCTCATTCAGGCCATGAATCATTATGATAAAGCAACTAAAAAAACTACTGACAAAAACTGCTTCATGACTGACTTTGACAGTGTTAGAAAAACTCAAAATTTTTAAAACAATTAAACCCCCGTATTATATTTTGCAAACAATTTTAAAAGTTTAAACCTTCTAAAAAGTTCGTGAGCAAACAGTTTTCCGAATTTTATTACTGGACAGGCAGTTTTTTTCCAGTTTTATTAATATTAATTTAAAATTAATACATAAAGAATATTTATTTAAATAGGAACGCATGGGAAAAGAGATAACAACTTGGTTACAAGGTTAAATGCTGAAATTTTTTTAGTAAAGTTAAATCAAATGTTAAATCAAAAAATATTGTGAAAACCAAAAGAAAAAAAATATAAATGTATTTTATTAACTTATAAATAATGACACGTTAATTAATTGGTATTTGTTAAAATAACTTGATAGAAATAATTTTAATTTTTTTTTTTTTTTTAATATTTGAGTTTTTATGGTTTTTGAACGTAAAAAGAAGTTGAAGAGTACACATAAACGAATTTTATTAATAAAAAATGTTTAAACGTTTTTGATAATAAGGTTATTAAAAATCTATCTGGCTATGTTAAAATGACAATTACAGATAGCATTTTTGTCTTGCAATATTGTTGAGCAAATATTACTTAAATACTTCTATCTATGATATTAGCATTTCTTAAGCAATATTACAACAAGATTGTCTGCATTCTATTTATGGGATGAAGTTTTTTTTTTTTTTTAACTAGTTTAATTAAACGATAACTATCATTATGGTTTTGGTTATGGATGCTATGGTTACGGTAGTTATGTTTAAAATTAAAGGGGATAAGCAAAGGTCCCAAAGTTAAAAGCTTTACAATTATAATGAAACAAAACTTACCGATGAAACTAAAAATAGCGATGAAATTTAATTTATTAGATTATAACTTCTTATAAGTTGCAGAGACGTTATTGGGGTTGGTGTCACCCAGTGCAATAAACTCTTAGTGTCACCCTCTATACTTTCACTAATCACAATAAACTTATTTCAAGTGTTCTTGTACTATAGACTATATTTAATTGTTTATAAAAAGTTTGTAAAATTAGTCAGAAAGGTAATAAGTACATAAAAAAAAATCAAGTTAAACAATTTAACATCAAGATTTCAATAAAAAATAAATTAAGAACTACATAAAAAAGCTCAGTTATTTTTATTAACATTAAACCTTATTTTATTTAAAAGTTTTCCTTGAAGCATCAAACCTGTCAATTACATCATTAAAACTAATATCTTTTCACTTTTAATTGATAATGGATAACCATATCACTATACCACCGCATCACTTTTAATTGATAGCTAGATTAGAAAACCTTGACTTTCTAACGGTTGATTGCAAAAAAATTTTTATAAGTTTTGAAAAGCTCGTCTCACAAGAAGCAATAGACTCAAAAAATGTAAAAAGTAGATTTAAGTTTACTGAGAGCATTGGGAAAGAATTGATAAAGTTTTTCATTTTGTTCATATCCCTCTGTGTCATTTTGTGATAGTGTCTTCCGCCATGGATAGCTAAGTGGAACTCAACTATTCAGTGATGTCACCTTTAGTGATGCCACTAGATAGTTGAGTAGAACTTACCCTTAAGAATGAATATTATAGATAGTTTTCTAAGAGAGATTGTTAAATACTCAAAAACTCGTCATTATTTTTTTCAAAAATAAAATAGTAAAAGAGTGGAATGAACTACCTAACGACATAAAAATAGCAAAAACCATTCAACAAATTTAAGATTTTACATGAACGGCAAGGTGTGGGCTGCTATATATATGTGGGCTGCTATAGCGCACTATATACTGCTGTTGGGCTGCACAGTTACACTATATAAACTTAAATTTACATATTATAAATATTATTTCTATTATTTGAATTTGTTTTGTTTTTTTTTAATTTTTTTTTTCTGCAATTAAAAAAAGCATGTCCTTGAACTTATATATTAACAACTATTTCAAATAAAAAATAACAGAGTGCAAAAATATAAATAACCAAAAACTTATAACTAGAAAAGTAATCAAAACTTTTAATAAAAAAGAAAAATCAGAAGATTCTAAAAGTTTGAGAAATGAGTTGCAAACCTTATGGGTTTATTATTAATAAGACAAGGATTGATATGTATATAACGTAAGCGTGTCATCGGCTACTTTTTATCAACAGGTAATTTAATCTCAGTTTTTGCTGCAAACATATGCGATTATACGGGTGGGGTTGGGAGTGTTGCGCCCCCCTGAAGAAGGTGATTTTTAAGTTATGGTCGGGTTTTTTACAAATTTAGTCGGCTAGTCGGGTATTTGACATAATTCAGTCGGTTAACTTTTCGTTTGGAGGATCTTTTTTTTAGAAGCCAGTCGGTACTTTTTGAGGATTTACCTCCCTCCTCATATTATTCGTAAAATCGCCTCTGGCTGCGAACGAGTGTTTATTCGGTTGCTCTTTAATACTAGTATATATACAAACATATACATGCAAGTCTGAAAGAAAGTGAAATATATATTTAGAAATGAAGATTTTTCAAATAAATATCGAGAAGAACATCGGAAGAGAGAAATAAACATCAAAAGTAAATTTAAAATCTTTGCAATTAAGGAGAATACGACAAGATAAAATTTAATAAAATATTTTGTCGCAAATTTAAAATTTTTAAATGATTGTACTGTAATTCGTTTATTTTACTTAAGTTTTATCGATACATCGATAAACCAAACGATATTAAATATTAACGATTTTAAAAAATGATAGATTTTGAAGTTAATATTTTCAAATTATTAAATATTGTTACACTTAATAATAACTTTTAGGATCCATATTTGCATTTTTTGAATCGAGATAATTTTAACTGATGGTTTTTTGAATTAGGAAGTTTTAAAAATTAATCAAGATTAATAAATAATAACTTTTTGGTGCAACGCATAGATATAAAAAAATAAATTAATAATTTTGACAAATTAACCCATTCTTGCCGAATGTAATTATTTATTCAGCACGATTTGCTTGAAACTTGGTGCTCTGACAACTCATCCAAAAATAAGTTTAATGCCATATAAAAAAAGTTTTTAAAACGAGAAGGTGGAGTTTAACTTTTTGCGTGATTTCAGATGCCAAAAGTGAGATTCTTTGTATTGAAATGGCAAACCCAAATGTTTTAAAATATGCCGATGGCCACTGGTTAAAGACCATTGAAGATGCGCATTTCAACGAAATGTGATTTAGTCAAGCTTTCAAACCATCTAAAAAATAACAAATAGCAAAAAAAAATGTTTTGTACTAGTAACATAAACATAATCTATTTACAGTACAATAATGATTATATCAACAATTTCTTTTTAAGATATGTTTTGCCCTTTAATCTTCCCAATGGTAGGATAAAATACTAGGTAACATCAACTTTCAATCACTGCAATTAACAATATAATGACTAAGTTTACGATGGATTAAAAACCGAACTAATCAAGAAAACCACTTTCTGATTAACAAGTCATCACAATCTTTGTGATATACTTTTCTCTTTTTTAATATAAAAAAACTCTTATATTCTAACATCTAAATCCATAAACGAAAAATTAATAAAATTACTATTCAATTATTTGAAGATACATTAAAGACAGTGAGGTGACACTTACCAAGAAAGCAGCCTTGAGCATACTATCTCTGCTTATTACAAACTCTTAAAAATATTCTTAAAGCGCTATGTGAAAAAAAGAAATGAAGAAAACCTAAATACCTACAAACAATAAAAAAAATTAATTTCCAATTGAAGAATTTCAGTGGATAGACGTTTTTATAGATATAGACATTTTGACGGTTCATTTGTGTTTTGCTCATCGGTTACTTTTTTTTTTTTTTTTTATGTTTATTTTAGGTGCCCCAAGAAGTCCTGACGGTATTATCAAAGAGCACCGCGGATGAGCATTTAAATGGAATTTTACGCCTCCTTTCTAACCGATGTCGCAT